GACTCCTTATCCCAAACCTGGAATAACTGTTACACAGACTCCTTATCCCAAGCCTGGAATAACTGTTACAGACTCCTTATCCCGACCCTGAAATAACCATTAACCACTTTTTTCAAGGGCACAATTAATTTAAATACACCAAACTGGGTTAAGGAACTGGTGACTGGGACTTGTCCTGTGACTCTTCCCCTTTTTCTCCTCCCAGGCATCCCTGAACTACCACAGCAGTGCAGTTCTGGCAGCAGCACTCGACACCCTCACGGTTCCCTACCGGCTCTGGTCGTCCCAGGGCTCCATGGTGCACTTTGCTGACTCCCTCACCTTCTCTGGGAGGAAGGTGAGGACACCAAAAGCAGCCACCCCTGACCCCTCCAGCTCTGCTGCAGGCAGGGGATGCTGTTCTGCACTTCCAGGAGTGTGTTCCAGGCTGTTTTCCCCCTGATCCAGGTTGTGGCTGCGTGGGCGTCTCTCCCCTTCCCTGCCTTTGCCGGCTCCTCGCTCCCAGAGATTTTAAGTGCCCACCAGCAGGACGTGCCCTGGAAGCTCCTCCTGTCCTCCTGGAGGGAGCAAAAGGTCAGCTGCTGTTTTGCTCAGTCTGTTGTGCTCCGAGGAGTTTGCAAAGAAAGGCCCAGCAGGTAAATCAGCCTCTGAACTGCACCTCTGCCCTCGGAACTGCAGTGATTCCTCCCAGGAGTCATCCCAAACCCTCCCTTCAGAGAGGAGCTGGATGGAGGAGCAGTCTAGTGACTGAGCCAGTTTAATTTTAGAGCAAAAACAGCTAAAAAGCAGCTGTGTCAGTGGTGTTTTCAGCCTGGAAAGCCCTGATTTGGTTTCCTTTGCAGCAGCTCCCTGGGACAGCAGCCCCGGACGCCCCTGCAGGGCTGTGAGAGCCCCGAGGAGATGCTCCAGCACTACCTCCACACCCACTTCCCAGGCTCCTTCAGGTGGGTACAGGCAGGGGGGGTTGGTTTAGACCAGGGAACAGTTTTGAGGGCGTTTTGGGGTAACTTTATTCCCCTGTTCCCCCCCAGCACAGCCCACGTGCTCCAGCAGCCCTGCGACACCCGACCTCCCTTCCCCCAGTTCTTCTCTCCTCTCCTGACCAGACAAGGCTTCCTCCAGGACAAAGCTCTGGGTCACTCCTTGGCAGGGCCCAACAGAGGTAAAAAAACCCACTAAAACAACCCCAACCCCACCCCACCCTGGAGGGTTTGCAGGGCTCGAGTTACGAGTGTCCAGCGGCTCTTTACGCCGAAGTGAAGGGGAACGGGGCCAGGCCTCAGATTTTGGGGGCTGTTTAACCCCAGCTGTTGGTCTGACCCCCCAGCAGTGCAGAGCATCCCCGTGCTGGCAGCCCTGCAGGCCTCCCCTGTCCTGCACCAGCTGCTCTCGGGCCTCTGGCGGGACCTGCGGGCGTGGAACGTGCGGCGCTGGAGCAGCTTCTTCACGGCCGGGCTGGAACACGACGACTTCCAGCAGGCCCTGGAGGAGCTGAAGACTCTGTCCCAGTGCTATGAAATGGGGTTTGGGGGGGATGGCTCCGAGGATGAGGCGGATTCAGACTAACACACCTTTATTCCCAGGGATAGAGGCAGTGGGAGCCTCTTTAAGGTCACTTTGGGAATAAAGGGAATGGCTTTGGGGATGGTCCAGCTGCTGCTTCCTTCTCATTTCACCAAAATCCCCTAACAAAGGCTGGCTTAAATTCTCCAGCTACTCACAGCTGTGTTGTAGAGGAGGAAAGCTGCTTTTGGGGGGCTGTTTTTGTATGTTTGGTTGGTTGGTTTTTTTTATACCTGTGCAAAGTGGATTTGCTCTGCCCCGTTCAAATAAACCCACACAATAAATAAGAGAGCTCAGACTGTAACTTTCTCACATACAATCAACACAAGGGGAGAACTTAGAAAAAGTCCTGTGTTCTTTCCACGAGAAAACTGACATCTTAGGGTACAATATTTACACGTTCTGGTCCAAAGCTGCTGGGCCCAACCTTCCCCTCCAGGCCAGGTGAGTGTCCCCGAGCCCCAGCTCTGCTGTTTCTCTGCTGAAGCTCCCCAGGGAGGTTCTGGAGAACATCCTCACCCTGACACCTTGCTTGGTGCCTCCAGTTTGGTACAGGCTGGCAGTGCAGCTCATCAGAAGTGGAGCAGGAAAGTGAACAAAAACCCGGGAAGGTGCTGTCATAATACCTGTGCAAACATTTTCCCACAGCACCTGTCTAGCAGCAAACTGGCAAAAAACAAACAAACTTCTTCTGGGGCAGGTCAGTAGTTTATCACCTCAGTCATCAGGTTCTTCCTCAGAGAGCAGGAGATCTTTATCTGACAGCTGGTCTGTGTTGCTGGTACTTGTTGCATCCTCCTCATCCTCGGAGCTCCCGTCGCAGGACGTGTGGAAGAGCCTCATCAGCTCCCTGAACCTGTGGGACACCTGAGGAACAAGGGGAATCCAACGTGAGCAGTGGCCAGAAAGGTGTCAGGGAACTGAAATCCTGTATTGCAAAGCTTGGGGTGTTTTGTAATGTATTAAAAAATATATATAAATACCACAGAGACATTTCATACAAGGTTCGGTATGAAAGATAAATGCAAGAGCAGCAGGTTGTTGTTCTCTCTGGAAGAACAGTTACATTCTGCTGATTTGCAGGTAAAATCTGGCGGTTTGGGAAGATTCAGAGACAAAACCAGGCAGATTCTTTATGTAGGAGGAGGAGGCTGAAGACCTGAGCAGCAGTCACTGAAACAACCCTGGTCCCAAACGTGAGGCTCAAACATCTCAGGATTTCTGGCTCCAGGGTTTGTTTTGAGTTTTTTTTTTTAATTTGCAGCTGGGATGATTTTTCATCAAATTTAAGTTTGGAAGGCTTTACATATGAACAGCACCCTCCCCCCACCTTTCCTTCCTTTCCAGCCCCTTCCCCATCCCCTGGGAGATCTCCCAGCCAAGCCCTCACCTCACTCGCTGTCTTGTTGCCCAGTTTCTGGGAGATGGCATGGAAGGTGTCCAGGTGGGCTCCTTTCTCCTGGCAGGTGGTGAGGATGACCCTGTCAGCCTCCCTGCAAAACAAGCAGCTGTAAAACAGCCCAAAAAACCAGCCATAGAATTCCAGCTCCCCCTTCCCCACACGAAGCCTGTTCCCAGTTCAGGAGAACAATTCCCTGGGTGAGGGATCCCTTCACCCCTCCTGCCACCTCCCCTCACAGGACCCATCTCTAAGCAGAGCTGCCTTTAGGATTTTTGTGTTTTCAGCTGTTTTAAGTTGTTTTCTGAAGGAGAAAAAAAGATCCTTTCCCAGGCTGAAGTGCTCCAATAACAGAGGAGGACCGAGCTCTGATGGACTGTGGTCGAGGGAAACGAGGCAGGAACATTGAACAAGAGGGGGCAGGACACAGCAGAAAATGGGAATACAACAGGAAAGGAAAGGATGCTCTGCAATGTGAGAGCTGAAGGCAGGAAGGGCAGGGCAGGCAGAAGTACCTGGTCCAGAGCACGACCTTCTCCCCGGTGGAGCTGACCTTGCTGTTCTTGGCACACACGGTGGCCTCGGTGACCTTCTGCTGCTGCTCCTCCAGGGCTGGAACCACCCTGGGCTCCGGCTGCTCGGGATGCTGATGCCCCTGGAGGCAGCTGTTTGCCCTGCCCTCCGTTCTGCCCTCGGGGGGAATGTCCCCAGGGCAGGCTGTGCCAGCTGCCCCCACGCCGCACCGACCGGCTTTGCCACCCGCCGGCATCCAGCCCTGCCTGGCTTCAGCTCTGCCCTCCAGAGGCAAAGGTGGCCCCTCAAGTCCTTCCCCAGCTGGTTGTGAGGCAGGGCCAGGCCCCCTAAGGCTCTCTGGCCCCTGGTTCTGCCCTGGGCTCTGGCATTGGTAGGACTGAGGTCCTGGTGGCACCGTGGCTGCAGCAGAGGGAGGAGGCAGCAGCAGATCCCTGCCTGGCCCCAGGGAACCATCCCCATCCCCTCCAGGCTGCTGGGTCAGTCCCTCACTCCCCACAGTGTCTTTGGTTTCTTGAGGTAGTTTCAGAGCAGCTTTTGGCAGCTGGGTCCATCTGGGGCCGGTGGCAGCAGAGTCTCTGTCCTGGGCACCTTCCACCCCAGCACTGGCACCTTCTGCCACCTGAGCACCAGGAGGGGCAGATCTGTCACCAGCTCCGTGTCTGCTGGAGGCAACTCTTCCTTCCAGGGGAGATCCTGAGGAGAAACCCAAACGAGGTGAGATAAAAATGTCAGCAAGAAAAAAAACTCCTGCAGGCTTTGATCCCTTGGCTTTTAAAGAGGTTTTTATTTTAGAGCCTAAGGCTGCAAATGAGAACAGTTTGGGAGCAGCTCTGTTATTTGTTATTCTACCTGTGCCTCAAAGACCATCCACAGTCAATGTTCTTCACCACTGTGAGTTACCACAACTGTGGGAAGTGATGGAGACACAAAAACCTCGAGTGCCCTGCCCAGAGCAAAACCCTGCAGGGAAAGAGCAGCCCTTGGCACCCGGGTTACAAACCCAGCCACGAGGCTGCACCACGTTTAAACCAACATTTCAACCTGCATTTCACTTTGTGCTGCCCCCAACAGCAGCACAAACTCGGATCTGGCACCTGGGGGAGGAAAAGATCCCCCTCGAGCTGTTTATCTTTATAAATTTATCAAGTAATTATGGATAAATATGTATTTAATATATATTTAATCTAAATGTAATATATAGATTTAATATATAGATTTAATATATATTTATATTAAATTATTATTTTAATAATATTTATATATTTAATATATATTTATATATTTCTATATATTAAAAAAATCTATTTAAATATATATAAATATATTTTCTTCAGTACCAGACTGAGGGAAAAACAAGCACCACAATTTAAAGGGCAGATTTAGAGAGGGTGGGTTTGAATTGCTGTGCTCAGATGGAAACTGGGAAAGAACCAGTGCCATGGACTGGCAGTACTGGGGGCTGGACTGGTACCCTGGCAAGAGGAGCTGAACTGGACCAACTCTTATGAAAAGGGGGAATATTCCCCAGGCAGGGAAGGTTTTGTTGGAGGGAATGCTCAGCAGTACACAAGAGTAAAAAAACCACAAGAGTAAAAAAAAAATGAAATAAGATGATCAGAGATTCTCATTATTCCCAATAAATGTGCACTGGAGAGCCCTAAACCTGGGTGAGGGGAGAGTCCCAACACCTGGCTGAGCACAAGGCTGGCACCCACCTGCAGACACAGAGTCCACCTTCCTGGGAGCAGGTCTGGTTCTGCCCTGGACATCCTCCCCCTCGTCCCTGTTCTCCAGGATTTCTTCTGCAGGTTCCCTGGACATCCCAGAATCCTTCCCTTCCGCCTGAGGACTCGACTCCTGCTGGGCCAGGCTCGCACTCAGCTCTTGAGAATCCTTATTTTTATAAAACTTGCTGTCACACACCTGCAGACCAACCCAGAGGCACAGTCACACCCGTGGCCTGTCCATCCCAACCTCTGCTTCCCAAGAATTCCTGGCCCTGCCCAGGGCTTCACTTTGGCACTGTGTTTGTTGTTGTTGTTGTTATTATTATTATTATTATTGTTATTAGCAGGCACAGGTTTTCACACAGTGGCCACACCAGCAACTTCCACTCAAAAAGCTTGTTCTTAACCCAAAAGAACATCAAAAATGACATCATTTGGCACAGCAAGGAGGGGCAGCAGGGAAGTGAGGAGGAGAGAGGTGGGAGAAGGCTGGGCAGAGCTCCAGGGAGGGAGACACTGCTGGGCACCTCGGGATTGACTTCCTTCCTCGTGTCATTATTTGGGATCATCCCTGACCTGCCCACTGACCTTGCTGCTACAGTGGCTGCAGCTCCTCCTCTTGCTTTTCTTGAGCTTGGGGTCACTGCTCCCCTCGTGGCAGGAACAGGGACACTCCTTCATCCCCTCCACCCACTCGACCTCCTGGAACAGACACACGGACACTGAAGGGATGCTGCTGCTGGCAAGCAAAGCACACCAGGAGCACTCCAGCCCCCTTGGGAGGCTCTTGTCACACCCCCCAGTCTCTCCCCGTGGCCATTCCCCAGCTCAGAGCCCGCAGTGAGGCCCCCCAGCCCCACCTTGTCGTTGTGTTGTCCCCCCATCTCCTTCCTCTTCTTGCTCCTCGTGGCCCCATGGATCTTGGGTGGCTCGTCCTCCTCCTCCACATCTGGCAAGGAAACCTCTTCAAACCCATCAAACTGCAACAAAACAAACACACATCACTGCTCCCAGCCTTGTTTTTCCTGGACACAAATCCTGTCCAAAGATCTGAAGAGTTCCCTTCTAACTCTTCTCTCCCACCCCAACGCTTCCCCCTCCCTGGAGCTGCAGCCCCTGCTTGAGTTCTCCCAGTTCAAACCCGTCTCCCACCTCTGCTTTTACCCTTTCTGGCCTTAGAAAAGATTGCTGCACCTCGTATTCCTTCTCCTCTGTCCAGTTGATCTCCTCAAAGTCTCCCATCCTGCTGGCCGAGGGCCGGAGGTGGTCGAAGAAGACAGAGAACTCGTCCTGCAGGTGGTCGTGGCCCTTCAGCAGCTGCCACATTTGGGTCTTCAGCTGGAGGAGAGAAACCCAGAGGAAATGAGTCTCGTTCCATGTCATCACCTTGCCCTCTGAAGGATTCTCAAAGCAAGTGGAGCATCAAAGGCTCGTTAAACCTCCAACGTGGATGTCTGTGCTTGCACTGCGACTGCTTCCTGAGTATTCTGAGGTCATTCCACACCCAGCCAGCAAATCAGCATGGAATTGCCCCTCCAGAATTCCAGGCAGACTCTGGAGGAGGCACCAAGCTAAAAATCTCACCTGCAAGGTGACAAAGGTGAGGTGGGAGGGAGGAGACAGGCAGGGCATCAACTGGGCAGC